AGATGCCAAAGGAGGTGGCTGAAGTGACGCACTGAAGCTGCAGATTTCACCCTGCAGAACCTCATAAATGAGCCCAGTTTCCCAAATCACTAGCAATGAACCACACGGAGCCTTGAGCCCAAGCGTCCCTTGAAGGCAGCTCCTCGCGGAGGCACGGCCCGCGCCGCACTGCCCCGCGGCACAGCGCAGCCAGAGATCTTTCCAGCAGGCCTCAGAACTGCTGTATGAGAAGAGGTGTCTTGGCAATGCATCGGAGAGCGTAATGCACCAGGGGCCGCCTGAGCATCTGGAGATAAGTTGCCGAGGATTTTGCAGCTACATTTTATTCAGAAAGAAGGTCACTTTCATAAATTTATAAGGCTCTGCTGACTCCCGCATGGCTTRATGTCTGGAAAAGTGCACAGTTCATCCAGCTGCGACAGAATCAGCAACCAGGCACGTAAGAAGGGAAGAACTGGCAGTTTGTGGTTCCTCACGTGTGTGCCAGTTGTGCCTGTGTGTGATCTCCAGGAAGGAAATTCTTCCCAAAACACCCACCTGGAATTAAAGTGAGGATCAGCAAACACGGAGGAGGGCTGACCTGGGCACGAGCCCTGTGTGAAGCGCCTTGGGTAAGGGCTGCTGAGTGTCCCCTGCTTCTGCTCGATGACTTTGAGGGATCTCAGCTGCTGAAGGCCAGGCTCATCAAGGGCTTCTTCTGAGCTTTGAGGCTGCTGCAAACACAGCACTTAATCACATTTGTTGCCACAGATTTGTGTCCCTTTTTTAAGGTAAAAATAGTTGTGGGGAGGAGAGGGGAGGATCCTCCCTTTTGTTTCAGTGAACTATGAGGGGCTGCATGAAGGGCTAAACGGCCACATGGCTGTTCTCTGAAAAGCAAAATGCATGAAAAGTAGAGGTGCCATCATGTACTTGGGGCATCTTCCCTGCTGCTCCTGCCTGCATGTGTCACGGCTGCGAGCCTTTGGGTTGGCCTGAGGGTCCTTGGAAAGCACCATGGGTGTAGGACATGGGCAGGTGACACACTGACCCTGTGGTGAGGCCTGGGAATGGGGCCTCCTGGGCTGTGCTTAGTGCAGGGAGATGAAAGCACAGAGGATGCACGTGTGGGGTGGCCCCTACACGGAAACCCAGTGCTCACAGGTAGCAAAACAAGAGCAGTGATTGAACTGCAGTCCCAGGAGAACAAGACCTTCACACACACTGTTGGTTCCTCAGGTTCCTTAAGCCAGAAGATCCCATATCCCACCTTAGAGGCGCCCTGCAYCCTTAAAAAGGGGCTCAGGCAACCGAAGGAGTTGCCTGTCTCGCCCAAGCACAGAGTGTTCTCCCTTTCCATGACATCTGGAGTCTTTCTTCATCTCGTCTGCCTGACGAGCTGAGCAATCATAAGCCGCTGAGTTAGTCTGAGATCCTTAGAGGAGGGAGCGAGCTCTGTGCAGGCAGSTTCCGTGCTTCTGGAGCAGCAGCCGTGTTGCTGCTATTGGGGCTATTCCATGATTATTTCGAGAAAACCATGAGCCGAGCTCGGATAAAGAGCAAAAATTGTTGGTAATGACAGCAAAAAATACAGACTCTTTGTAAGATGCATTGGGTGGCACCTCTTGGTGAGAAGCTGCATCCCTGGCTGTTCTGTAAAATGTTTTCTCTGTAGCTGCTGGAGAAGTCCTGGAGTCCTGCGTTCCCAAGGAGGGAAATGCTGGATTTGAGGAGGATCYGCATTGGGAAGAGTGTTGCTGGGGGAGAGAACTGCTCCGTAGCTTGGGTTGACTTGCTTCAATTTTCTAATTATGTTTAAAAGGCACTTAAGTAAGTGTGATGAAATTATGTGTTCTGATCTAGTGCATAGCTGGATGAATTCATAAAGGTGTATAAAATATTCCTTGTAACAAATGAAAGGGGAGTGGTAATTCTGGAGAACAAAATTACATGAGAAGGAGGTAATTGCACATAATCTTACAGTGTATAATAGTACATTAAACATGGTTATTGGGAGGTAGAAGTCAGGAAAAGAAATGTTCAAGTTTTGAACAGGTCTCTTGAGGTAGAAGGAATTGGATCCTGGGGAAAAGAAGAAAATAGCAGCAGTGTGTTAACAGGGTGAGCTCTGCAAACTCTTCCCTAGAACACTGCGTTGTTGCGGACGGGAGATGCAGCCCGTCCCTTAACGGGGGATGCCGTGTCCGCCGGGCGCGTGCCGGCACCGCGAGCGGCTCTGTGCCGCTGCAGCCCCGGCACTGCCGCGGCTGCGGAGCCCCGTGCTGTTCCAAGGCCCCCGCCAGCCTTTCATCCCTCAGGATGGGCGCTCCGCTGGRAAGCGGGGATGGGTTTGGTGGTGGGAACCTGCCTGCCTGCTCATGCAGCTCACGGAGCCCACATGCAAACCCTAAGCCTAAGCCTAAGCCTAACCCTAATGCAGAGGAGCTCAGGGTGAACATGAGAGGCCGTGTTGGAGGGCCGTGCAGCGTGGGCCTTCTGCTCGCCTCGCATCGGTCCCCCAAGCTCTCCCCTAAATTTTGCTCAGGAGCTGAAGGCGTGCCGAGCGAAATAGGACGCGGAGATGCAGAACCAGGGAAGCTCAGCGCCGAGCTGCCGTGTCGGGAGGAGGCGGCGTGGCCGGCGGTGCTGCCCGCRCCCGAGGCCTCGCCGGGTGAGCCGGGCACCTCTCGCAGGGGCCGGAATGAGGAGGATCCTGTGCCCGCTGCGGCTGGCCTCTGCTTCCCRTGGCTGCTCCCTGTCAGCCCTTGTGCCCTTGGACCACGTGGGGCTTCGCGGCAGGCACCAAACGGTGCTCAATTTGTGGTAGAAAGGAGGTGGAGCAGGCACAAAATAGRCTGCTGGGGAAGATGCTCTGGTGCATCAGAGGGGTCTCTGGTCCCCTGTGAGGAGCGAACAGGGAGGAGAAGGTGGTTCCAACGCTGAAGTCATCCCACAGATTCTGGATATGCCCTTCATGGGAGGAACTGCCCCTTAGAAAGCCTCCAACTCTACCCCTGGCGTGATTAGATTGGATTTTGACATCCCTAGATGTTCCATTAGGTGAAAGCCACCCAGAATGGCTCCCAGATCAGTGTGTTTTGTCCATCGTATCGAGGATTGAATGCTCTTCCTCATGCCAGTTTAAATCAAATTCCAGTTACTGGTTGTCTTGCTGCATGGAAAATCTGTGACGGGCGGCCGTCTCCTGTTCTTGAAATAATTTTCTGAAGTTTTCCTTAGAGTCTACATTGATTTAGGTCATAAGAGCCTTGTTCAGAGACCTCCAAGCCCACACATCTTCAAGCCACACACAGCAGCAGATGAAAACACAATGGGTGTCCCAGGAAGCCATGTGTCCCAGGAACCTCGGGATTCTCCCTCATTTCTGTAACTGAGAAGCCTGCCGGCTGACGCGGTGGTTCCAGGGTGAAGCCCCCCGTGCTGCAGCCTCCAGGTGGGCAGTGGAGGCAGCTCCGGGGAGGCTCCCGCTCGCGCTCGTTGGCCGGGCAGCCGGACAGTGCCCACGCGGTGCTCGGGGCTGTGGCTCCGCTGCCGCCGTGCAGACTGTGCTCTGGCTGGAGCAGGATGGCACCGCGCAGGGCACTCAGCTTCGTGGCTGCTTCCATGCGCGAGGTTATGCAGAGCTGGGAAGGCGGCCATCCCAGGAGGAAACAGCCTGGGCACTTCCACACGGAGACAGGACAGAGCTGCCAAATTCAGCCCAGGATTGGAATCTGGGTTCCTGAGGTGCCGAGGCGCTTGGTGTGGCCTTGGGGATGTTGGTTCTGTGGCTGCCCTCACCCTGCAGGAGACACCTGCTCTGTGCACTCCTCGGGCACCGCGGGCTGCCCCTCGGCTGCCCCGAGCTCCTGTCCTCGTGCTCCTTTGAGGGCGCAGTCCCGATCCCTGGATATCTCACTYGCAGGGCAGCAGCTCCGCAGCTGCCGCTGATCTTTGTGCTCCGCAGGTAGATCCGAGACACGGCCTCTCCTCGTTGCTCCCTCGTGCTTTTCTCTAGATAATTCTGCTCCCTCAAGCACCTGTCACAAAATTACACGTTTGGGGTAGTGCAGTTATCATTCAGCGGCAGCGGCGCGTGCGGATTCCYGCAATCAGGGAATGTGCCAGGGCCGTCGCACAGCTGCGGAGCCGAAGCCACCGCGGCTGGAGAGGCCGGAGAGGGAGCAGGGGTGTCCCGCGCCTCCAGCTCCGCYGTGACCTCCCTGCGCGTCCCGGACTCCTCCCGGGAGGCAGCGCATCTCCCGCGCCGCAGGGAGCCGCTGCATCCCGGGGCTCCGGGGGAGCGGGCGGGAAGCGGCTGCGCAGCCGCTTTGGGGCAGGGCACGGGCTTCCAGCACGCGGTTCAACAAAGTTGTGTGGGRAAAAAAAAAAAGAAAGAAAAAAAAAAGAAAAAGAGAAAAAAAGAAGGGCAGCGGAGCGGGGTTTTCCCGGCGCTCGCCGTTCCCGCGGTGCTCCCGGGGCTCGGGGCGCGGCGG